GCAGGCATAGTGGAAGATATGAAAGCAGAAATTGCTGGTTATGGTGGTTCACACCTGTAATCTCAGCACTTTGGGAGGCCAAGGCGGGAGGATCACTTGAGGCCAGGAGTTCAAGACCAGCATGGGCCATATAGTGAGACCCCCCCAACTCTACAAAGAAAAAAAGAAAGCACGAATAATTAGTGTGTCTGTATGTTACTATTTAAGGGCTGAATTGAGCCTTTTCTTCTCTACATTCCCATGTTGAAATCCTAACTCCCAGGACCTCAGCAAGTGACTGTGTTTGGAGATACAGCCTTTAGAGAGGTGATTAAAGTAAAATGAGGTCACTAGATTGGCCCTAATCCGTTCTGACTGGTGTCATAAAAAGAGGCGACTAGGACAGACACACCCAGAGGCTCGACCCTCTGAGGACACGGGGCAGGCGGCCGTTCACCAGCCAAGGACAGAGACCTCAGGGGGACCCAACCCTGCCGGCACCTTGACCTTGGACATCCAACCTCCAGAACCGGGAAGACGATAAACTTGCATTGTTTACGCCTGTGATATTCGTCATGGTGGCCCCAGCAAACTGACACACTCTTCCATTTCCAAAGTGCTTCTTGAGGCCTTCAAGCAACCTGCCAGGGAGGCACTGTTCTCTGTTTGCAGACAAGGAAACAGGCTCCGAGGACTTGAGTTTCTACCCCAAATCACCTGGCCGGAACGTGCCGGGCTACCTGGGTCCTTGACTTCAAACCCTGAGTGCTCTTTTTCAAGTTCTTCCCCAGGCTGGGAAGAGTATAACGTACAGCAGCCCCCTTGGTCCGTGGGAGATACGTCCCAAGACTTCCATGGATGCCGAAAACCGTGGATGGTTCCCGATCCTAGACACACTGTTTTTTCCCCTATACATTAAAAGTTAATTTACGGTTGGGCTCGGTGGCTCGGCCTGTCATCCCAGCATTTTGGGAGGCTAAGGTGAGTGGATTGCCTGAGCCTGTGGGTTCGAGACCCGCCCGGGCAACTTGGCGAGACCTCGTCTCTACAATAAATGAAAAAATGAGCCGGGCATGGTAGCGCGCGTCTGTAGTTCCGGCTACTTGGAAGGCTGAGGAGGAAGGATCGCCGGAGCCCAGCGGGTCGAGGCTGGGGTGGCCATGAGCCTGCCACTGCGCTCCAGCCTGGGCGACGGAGTGAGGATCCAACTCAAAACAAAGGGAAAAAGTTAATTTATAGTTTAATTTATAAATTAGGCACAGTAACAAAGTATCAATGGCATACTAAAACAGAACAATTATAACAATATACTGTAATAAAAGCTATGTGAATCTGGTCTCTCTCTTTCTCAAAACATCTGCCTGTATGTAATGTTTTTGGCCCATGGCTGAACACTGGCAACTGAAACCACAGGTAAGGGGCCGCTAGTGTAGACAAAACGGATCAGCAGCAAATAGAGAACAAAACTCTGAGCCCAGGACGGGTGAGATATCACAGAGGACCGGAAACCCAGCAAAGGGGGTTTGTGGAGTGGGGTCTTGAAGGCCCTCCTTTGGGGGCTGCAATAGCAATAACACGAGCCGACATTTCTGAGCACCTGCCAGAAGACGGCACTGAGGGACAAGCCTCCCATGTGCTGCTTCACCCAAACCTCCCAGCAAACCAACGACGCGGGTGTCTTTGTTGTGCCCCTTTTGCAGATCAGGAAACCGAGGCTCAGAGGAGGTCAGTGAAGTGTCCAAGGTCCTACCTCTTGGAAGAGAAAGTGCTTGAATTTGCGCCCAGGTCTCTCTGCCCCCAAAGCCCTTGCTGTTACTCACTTCCCAGCAACGCTGCTGGTGTGTCCCAGTTCCAGGGGCACAGGTCCCAGGTCTGGGTTGCTCTCTTCGCCAGAGCTCTGGATGAGGGGACAGCCTATGCATGCCCAGATGTCTCGGGCAGGGGCCCCACGCCAATATCTTCACCCGTACCGTGATGGTTAGGAGAAAAGAGCCTCCGTGGCCATGAACGAACTTCCTGCCACTAGGAAGGCAGGTTTCAGGAGTGGGGAGGGATACTTTCCTTTCTCTCTCTCTCTGCCTTTTCTTCCCGTTCTCCTCCCCTCCCTGCTTCTCTCTGTCTTGCTCTCTGCCTGATTCTGCCTCTGTCTCTGACTGTCTCCCTCCCCACGCACTCTCCTATTTTACTCTCTGGCTGGGAGTCAGAAGGCACTCTGTCCTTCATAAGCTTATTTATGCACCCGGACCCAAGAAAAACACCAGGAAATGGCCTCAGGTCCGGGCACCACATCGTCAAGTGCACCTTCTAGTGGAAAAAACTCTCCCCGTCCCTCAAGATTTAGCTCCAGCCTCACCTGGGGAGGGGAAGGCAGAAGAGAGGAAGGCAACTGCCCTGCCTGAGAAGGTGCCCCAGAGGATGTGGTGGTCTTGTGGGGTGTTTTCCCCATTTCTGCAGGTCATCGCTTGCACGTCAGAGCTGGAGAAAGCCACAGGCGTCGTCGGCTGGTCCTGCACTTCCAGGACCAGAGCCTCAGACTGGTCCCCGTGCCTGGAGCCAGCGCCCTGGAAGGGGCGCCTCTGACCTCACACAGTCTGACCCAGGATTCCCAAGCCAGGGTGGATATTAGCACCAGGCGGGGGTGCTTCAAATGTGCTGATGTCCAGGTCCCGCCTGGAACCGGCACTGGTTTTTTTCTTTTTTTTTTTGAGTGGGAGTCTCACTCTGTCGCCTAGGCTGGAGTGCTGTGGCACACTCATGGCCATCCCAGCATCGACCCGCCGGGCTCCACGATCCTTCCGCCTCAGCCTTCGGAGTGGCCAGAACTACAGGTACGTGCTACTGCACCTGGCTAACTTTTTATCTATTGTAGAGATGAGGTCTCACCAAGTTGCCCAGGCGGGTCTCGAACCTGTGGGCTCAGGCAATCCTCTTGCCTCGGCCTTCAAAGTGCTGGGATGACAGGCTGGGCCGCCGAGCCGGCCAGTTTTGTTTTTTTAATATGTGTTTTAATTCAGCAGGGGCACATGATGTGGGTTAGCTACATGGCATATTGCGTGATGGTGAAATTTGGGTTGAACATGATACCCAACAGGTTGCTCTCCGACCCTTTTCCCCTCCCTTCCCCCCCTTAGAAGTCCCCAGTGTCTGTTGTTCCCACCCTTATGCCTGTGTGTACCCAGTGTTAATTCCCACTTATCAGCGACAACGTGTGGTATGTGCTTTTCTGGTTCTGTTATCATCCACTGAGGACAGTGGCCTCCGGCTGCAGCCACACGGCTGCAGAGGACAGGGTTTTGTTCTTCTTTAGGGCTGCGTAGTATTCCGTGCTGCATACGCACCCCGTTTTCTTCATCCAGCCCGCTCTTGATGGGCACCTAGGCTGCTGTGCCATTGTGAACAGCCCATGGCATCTTTTAACGTGACCCCTCGCTTCCTCACTGTGTGGACTGGGGGTGCTAAGCTCGGGCTGGGCTGAGCTGCATTTTTTCCTGACAACCTCAGTAACCACCTCCCTCAAGGAGCCCTCAGTCCTGGGGGAGATCAGACCCTGCAGTTCTCTGGAGACCCCACCTTCCCGGAGAGCAGGGATCCCACCTCCAGGGTCCTCCACTCCTGCATCCTGGACGGGCTGGAGGGAGCTAGGCCCCTGGGCCTCACGCTGGTCCCTGAGAGCGGAGTTCAAGCCCGGGTGCCCACCGACCGGCCAAGAGCTAGACCCAACGGGGTGAGGTCTGGGTTTCCCCACCTGTGGAAGCAGCCTGGTCATGACAACAGCCACACCCTGACCTCCCTCCCTCCCCAGGCTGGACGCGAAAGTGGAACCTTCTAGGCGCTCTCAGCCACACCCCTCCTCTGCGCCCGGGATGGTGGGAGTCCCCC